ATTCTAAGTGAGGGCTTGTCTTGTGATGCAGTTGGATGCTTTCCTCAATATGTGTCCTATCCAATTCCGGCGATGACTCTTGATTTCTTCCTCAGTTGGAATCTGGTTCGTTCTGTTCTAGGTTGCTGATGGTGTCTGGCTAGAGGATCTGAAGTATTTTGAGTACACAAAGAGATCTGGGGAAAATAGAATCATTGAAGCTGCTATGTCTTGAAGTCAACTGATTACAGTTTCATTCATTCTTGTAATGAGTAGTTATGAAAACCGACTAAATCACTCTTGATGGAGATGCCTTGGAGGACGTTAACACCACATATCTGGGCAGCATCATCGACAATCAAGGTGGATCCGATGCAGATGTGAGGGCGCGGATTGGCAAAGCAAGGGCTACCTTTCTACAGTTGAAAAATATCTGCAACTCCAAACAACGTTCAACCAAAACCAAAATCAGGATCTTCAATACAAATGTCAAGACAGTTCTACTGTATGGAGCGGAAACTTGGAGAACTACCAAAGTCATCATCCAGAAGATACAAGTGTTTATGAACAGTTGTCTACGCAAAATACTTCGTATTCGTTGGTCAGACACGATCAGCAACAACTTATTGTGGGAGAGAACAAGTCAGATTCCAGTGGAGGAGGAAATCAAGAAGAAACGGTGGAATTGGATAGGACACACACTACGAAAAACACCTAACTGCGTCACAAGACAAGCCCTCACATGGAACCCTCAAGGTAAAAGGAAAAGAGGAAGGACAAGGAACATATTACGCCGAGAAATAGAGAAAGATATGAGAGGAATGAACAAACAATGGACAGAACTGGGGAGGGAAGCCCAGGACGTAGTTAGTTGGAGAAAACTGGTGAGCGGCCTATGCTCCATTGGGGGTAACAGGCGTAAGTAAGTAAGTAAGTAAGTATGAAAACCGACTCACAATAAAGTGATAGTTTATCTAACAATTCAAGATAACTTTCAATATTTCCATTTAGTTTCTTAAAAAAATAGCTAAGCACATGAGAGACTGGAATAAGTTGTATATACTTTCACTAGTTTAGTCATATTTAATACAAATTAAAACACAATCACAGACTTGGTACATCTGCTCGGTTTTTTACTTAATTCTTTACAAAGAGACAGTAATATACAGTGGTAGCTTATTTTGAGGACATTACTGTTGTGGTGTTTCGTTCTCTGAGCTGGGTGTTTTGACTGTAGAGCTTTCATTATTCTGCTGAATAACATCATCAGCACAAACTTCAGATAGATTTACCTAATTGAAAGCTTGCTAAATACTAGCAATTATTTTTCTTATTATTTTATTTTGTAAATCTTAAGTTCTCAGTTGATATAATGCCATACTCTGTTTCATTTCAAAATTATTATAGATTAGACTTAACTCTCATACTTGATTTTTCTAACCTAAATGGCAAGTTTAGGTATAATTTTATTTTTCTAGACCCTTGTGCGTCGTGATTTTGTGAAGTATGTAACTTTTTTATGTCATTTTTTGCTAATCGAATAAATAATGAATCGAGTAGTGTTTCTGGTCAATTAGTTTTCTCTTTGCCTATCGCTTCATAGCCTATCCGATGATAAAATAGTTTTCTAACCTCTGTCAAGGCCGTTAAGTCGTAACCGAACTCAAGTCCTACTTGCCTCTAAGTTAAGTAATTAGCCAATCACGTCAAGGCCTTTAAACTAGATTGGGACAAATTATTTCTTGTGTATTAGTGAAGGATGGTGAAAGGACGTATCACTTACTTAGGCATGTTATCATTCATGGGGCACAGACTACCGACAGTGTATTTCGAAACAACTTTTTCCTGAGTTCTCCTCCTCCGTTTCTGCCAGGTAATACTCTTCTTTTGATATCTATCTTCGATTCCCGGTGCAGTGTGTCATTCGATTTTCATCTTCTCCTTCGAATGCATTTATGGGTTGATATTCGTATTGAAAATTATTGGAAATAATAGCAGACACTCATTGCTCAAACATATCCTTTTGGTGTTGTTGAACTCTTTCAACCAGGTAGTTTACTTTTAGAGTTTTAGTTAAAATTCTGAGTGAAAATCATCAGAGCTTACTTTATGATTACTGGAAGCAATGAACGGCCGTTTCGTCCTTGTATGGACCTCATTAGCAATGCGCATCCACGGCACCGAAAGCGAGACTTGCAGATTCGTGCACAACCGCTTAACCTCAAGACCCATGAGCCAGCATCTAACGGAATTAATGCCTAATTTAAATAAGTCTGCAATATTGTACGACCATCATCCATTGTGTTTAGTGAGTAACTGTCTAACACCCAACATGGTTCAATTCCATTGGTCACTGTTTCTTACGTGAACCTCGAGAATTCCCTCTCGATTCTAGTCGCTAGTGAGCACATGATATTTGTTAGTTGGTAACCTCTAAGTTCTAGAAGCTTCTGACAACCATGCTATAATTGATAACAGTATCCATGATCGTTCAGTCAGGATAATGAAAGCATAATACAACGTTTTCTAGAATCACTTAGGAAATTTCTAGAGGATGTTAATTGAAGATCTTAAATGTAATTTCTTTCTAAGATCGTACTTGGATACCTTTGTAACCTTACAGCTAGAACAAAATTTTTATACAGAAGATTTCTATTTTTATTAGTTATTCGATAATATAGGTTATTTCTAAATGGTTTAAGATCTTTAATACTTTTCTGTAATTTTAAGTAGTGTTTTCGTCGCAGAACAAACTAAATCCTTAGAACAATCGAAAACTATAGACCAGTGGACAAATTTTTCATGGCAGTACAGGATTTGTCAACAGTGCATATCTACAACATTTTCAAAGGTCTGAACCATTAAACTTAGGTTTCGCAACAGTAAACACCTAGATTAATATTCTGGCAACTCACAGAATACATTTTCAATAGTAATCAAACAATTCACGATAAGCAGAAATGATTCACTATGATAAATCTTGCTCGATAACAAAGTCGATTTCGTCAGAAATCCTTCATAGATACTTAGGTAACCTTCGAAATTATTACTAGAAAAAGGTTTAAATAGTTGATGATACTCGGCTGAATTTTATGAATAGTCAATGAATAGAAACACATTTTTCAATAAAATTTGAATTTTACGAATTTTCCCGAGTGGCTTCCGTTTTAAGAAATGACGCTAAAATGTTTCAGAAATCCTTTGATAACGGTCTTAGGAAGTTTCGACTTTGTGCTTGCTTATATTAAAAACTGTCTAATGACACGTTTTGACAAAGAATTTCATCTGGCTATTGATTTTCGACGACTTCAAAAACATGGCATCACTGCCACTACACAGAAATGTCAATTTTGAACTCGTTCCTTTGAGATTCTCGAGAGTGCTGTTGAAACTCAAACTATCCGCCCTCCAGAAAATAAAGTGGTAGTCATTCTCGGTCACTCCACTAACTTTTACAGTAAATGTGGTAGCATTTGTACCAGATTGATCTAGCCTGTAAAATGGCATGCCTCTAGTAACACGCTCTTGTTTGAGAATAAATAAATGGTCATCAAAACCTTTAGTATTAGTCTCGAGGCCAGAGTAGGACACTGAATCGAGATAAAGGGCATGTGGCAGGTAACTCCAAGCTGTGTATTGCGTTGCATGACACGTTCAACCTTCTGTGGAAGGCCGATGATGAACATTTTCTCAGGCAATAAACGTTGAGGCTTTCTGCTTAGCTCGTCTGCAAACAAGTCCTTCCCTTTAGAGTCTTGATAACTAAACTACATCACCAACAGACCCGAAAATACGAATAAAACAGATGGGAACAGGTAAGGAAACTTTGCTTCTTCTGGTAGAGATCGTCAAGTCGTTCCAAACATTATCGATGCAACGATTTCAGTTTGTTACACAAACTTTCTAATCTGAGTGTCCGAGAAACCATGAAGCTGATAGCAGAACGCTTTTGCTGGCCAGATATGAACAAAGATATGTGGGAGAGAACACACTCCTGCATAATTTGCCAAAAATCTTAGATGATTGAATATAACCAATGTCCCTTAAATGCCATCCTAAATAATGCTCTCTTAACCACATCCATCTCTGCTTGGATCCTTAACGGATTAAAGCGGATGCTCAGACCACCTGAAATGTATAGGTCGTTTCAGACGTTGAACAGGAGCAACAATGATCAAGGACGTTACTTTTGAAACATTGACCCTCACCTTCGTAGAACAATGGATAAAAAACATCAGCTGCCCTTTAGCCTTTGTATAGACCGCGAACATCGGTTTTAGTTTCCCCTTTTTCAACTATCTCGCCATATGTTTAGGAATCATGCGATTCAGAACGATCGCCACCAACTGCAAGCTAGTAGTTTGGTTAGAAGATTCTACCGATAGTGGAAAGTCTCACTTTCAGCTGTGAGTGTGTCACAATGAACTGAAGCTCTCGTGTTCGGAATTCGCAATTCAGTGAAAGCAAGCGCTGAATGCATCCACAATAGGACATTTCAAATCTCAGGAGAATTTGTGGATTGTGCATTCCCTTCGACGTACATAGATCTCATCTCTTACATGAGCAGTCCTACTAATGCAATGAGTTCAGTTAGATATGTTTCTATTTGACTTCAGTCAGCTACTGTATTCGTTCAACCCGTCTTGAACACGTTTACAGCTCATTACATCAACTACTTGAAGCTGCTTACGAACGATCCTAAACAGCTCTTCACTGTGAACCAAAGTATCATACTATTGGTAGGAGCGGAAACAAAGATAACATCAGCATCGGCCAGCTGAAATCCAATTATATAGAAAAAAATCCCCTTCCTGTCGATCTCCCCAGCCCAATGGAACGAGACAGTTCTCCAAAGATACATTTAGGCAAAGCGCTAGTTAGTAAACGTGATTATTCATATAAACATGATGATGTGATAACAGAGAATTCAAGTCGTCACGATCACTTATAAAGATATTCAATTATTATATACAAAACAGTGAAGTGTTGTTGTGTTACATATTCTAACAGCAGAAGTTTGTGCAAATGTACATTATTTGTAAAAGTGTAACGTGCTAACGGCCTTGAGATGACAAATAGGGCTCCAGATGACGCCTTAGATGTTCTGCGCGGAATTTAGAGTATAATGATTGTAACAGTTAGTAATCATCGCTCTCAGATCCTCTTAATCTGACGGTTTCGTTATTAATAATTGTTGTTTATTGCTGTTCCTATTAAAAGTGAGCGCCTGTTGTGCACTTGCTGTGCCGTTGGTTCATCTCTTATGTTCTTCGAAAAACCCTGTTCTCCCCACTCACACTCTCCTAATATACAAGATTCTTCCTAACTAGACGTGAACTGTTACAATGATAAGCATCTTGCATGTTATTAATAATTCATCGGTTTTGACTAGCTCATGAAAAAGATATTCAATATATTAGAAATAAGAATCAAACTCTTGAGATCAAATATCGTTTATCGAACTAAAAAGGTGATGCTTAAGTTCATTTCAAAAACATACTTGCTTTTAAGACATATTATTTTAAGGTAGTTTATTTCATTCAATGTGTAGCCGAGAATGTTTAGAGAACCTATGTAGTATTCTCCCACTTTAAATCTTACTCCAAAACTCAACCCTAAGTTTCTTTACTTTGTAAATGGAAGGCTAACAAAGCATTGCAACATAACTCATATCGTTTCATGAAGGCAGTAAACATGATTTGTAAACCCAATTCAGAAACTGTTGCATCACTCTTAATACGTAACCCTGAACATTGTGGATTATAGCTAATATCATGTTACGAAGACTCTCGGATGATAACCCTGACTCATAACACTACCTCGCCCCTCAATATGGTAACTAAACTTTTCCTTTCCTTAAAAGGAATAATTCTACATGTAAGGATTGATTATTCAAATTAAAACCACCATTCCAACGTTATTTCATTGCTTTTTGTTGTTAGCCGTCTTATGAGTAAGGAACGTTTCCTCATTAGCTCATAAGTCACTCACAGTTGTCAGTATGTTATGTGTTCCTTGAAAGACAAAATCTCTTCCAGAAGCACCACTTGGTGTCCCCGAATGAAGCTTCACCAACTTCTATGACTAGAACACTGCACCCAGGAATTTAAGCATGGTATATATTATGTAAAGACTATGTCGGCAGGAATTTTAAGTGGTCTACATGTATTCTTTTCTTGAAATACTGTTGGTTCGAAGCGAAAACAATTAGTATCCAGTAAGAGGGTTCTTCCCGTAGAGGTGATGTGTTTATGTATATACAACTAGTTTACGTCACTCTTATGGTCGATGTCTTAAGATGAAGTAATTCCCCTATTCGTAACACTATTAAACTATTTTGTTCCGTACATCTCCTAGTTTCCATGATATAAGAAGCGTGTTCTCTTCAAATTAATAAACCACATCATCATCCGCATTTACCCCAATATTATTAGTGTTGAGTAGAGTTCTTCGTTTTTCGGAATGCTCTCGCGCGGCCCCATTTTTCTAACCTCAGAAAGGTTCTACTTACATATTCCAACAAACATCTGTCCGTTGTGTTATTGTTTATGTCTGCTTACTGTCTTTGCAGGGAGATTTGTCAAGAAAAATAAACCCAAATTTTAGGTTCACTCTCTAAACGTGTTCGGTGTGTCTGGAAAGTCCACTTAAATTAACAGAACCTTGACCCCGAACTAGTTGTCGAATCGACTCCGAATCCTAAATTTAGGGGTTCCCAGCAGGGTAATGGCAACTGTATTCTACAGCTCAATACAAATCACAACATATTTCTGTCTAACCCCATCCTTCAAGACATTAATCTCTGGTGTGCTATTTGGTATTCACTTGAGAACCAAGCATGTACTACAATCACAACTGTCTCTATTTTTGGAGCGTTTGATTAATTTCTAATCATGCAATGATGTGTGACAAAATAGTTTAGCTTTACTAGTCAACGGATTCGTTCTAAACGGATCAGCGTAATCACACTCAATGAACCTGCCCTTCCAATGAGGCAATCTACCTAGCTAGGTTATATGCTAGTTGCTCCTCCTAACTGAAACCTCAGTTAAATTCTAGTTGCGCCACAACATTTAAAATGTTAACGCTTGTTATTTTACGAACTTTCCCATTATAGACATTGGGTTTCTACAGTTTTTACAATCACGATTGGCATTCCTGGTTGATGACGAGCTGGTTAATGTAATAGTTTAAAAACTTCACATCACTCCTAAAACCAACTTGTAGAATTCAATGTCTGCTCAAAATAGAGGACTGAACATTACAGATCCAGACATCGCTTTTTCTTTATCCTAGCCAAATGCTGTTAAGTTTATACAAAGTACTTTTTCAGAGTTTATCCTACTCACCTAAACATCTAATCAAAGTTTATACTCGAAAAGTATCAAACTAGACTTAACTGTTTGGTTGATAACAAGAATCACAGGTGTTGGGAAATTGTAAAAAAATTCAGATAAGCTCTGTATTTAGCGCTACTCTTAGTTTTTGTACATACTAAGTGGTTTCGTAATACCTATGGCCATCACTATTTATTGTATAACGTTCTGTTCCGAAAAATTCACCTTAATATAGTATGTTAAACTCATAATACTTTTAACCAAACAACCCTTTCAGTTCCACGCCATTTTATTTTCCTTTTTAGGTGAAAAAAATAAAGACGGAGTAGTACTCTAGAAAAAATGAAATGAACACAAAACAGTGTACTGTTGGATCTAAAGCAAATAAACCTACAGAGTGGATAGCATGTGATAAGGTCGTCGTCCGTGATCAAGTTCGTTGGCAATCACTCACTTCATCCAAACCAGTAGTGTCTGTTCATCCTACACTACCTGCTAAACCAATCACTTCAACTCATCTTTTGTGTAATCCCACAATAAAGTTAGATAAAGGAGTGCAAACAGATGACAATCTTAATTTTATTTTTCATACTGGTGATATAATCAGAACTCAACGTAATTTAGCATCTGTCAGACAGAATTCATCATGTCTATCGTCTTCTAATGATAAGATTGACGATAAAGAGTCACTTCAAAAGGCGTTAGAATTGCAGCAAAAAGTAAGCACTTTTCTTTATTTTTAGTCTTCTCTCAAAATTACGGATTCTCCATAGTTTATGGATGCATCTAGTTCCAATTTGACTTAGTTCCCAATTAATTTCGTATATTTTTCTTGACATCTTGTTGTGTAACTGTGTTCACGTTTCAACGCAATAATAGATGTCGGTTACAAAATTTACTCCAGATATACAGAGTCAACCTTTAAAACCATAAGAGTGAGTAGATGAACAATTTAGATTCAACTTGTCAGTTAAATGATTGCATGGGTTAATATATTTTCCGAATAATTAGTAGATGGTCGGATAAGAAGTTATATATTTATATATCAAAAATACGATTGAAGCAAAGTTACTCATCAATCACGCAAGAATGCGTACGAACTAATTAATGGGATCAAAAGTGACGTTTAACATCTAATTGAGTTTAACCTTGTATCAGTTGAAACAAGAAATAATCTGAGCGTGTTTGAGGCCCTTACAAATTTATGAGATAACGTCTATTGATTTTCCTACTTTAACTAGCTACACATACCTGTTCCTATGTTCTTGCGAAAACTTTTCACCAGTGATCAGATGATTTATCAACCCCTTCCCATTTTGAAATAAGCTGAATAACAGCTTATTCTTAAAGTACTCTTAAGTAAATAATGATACAAAATGTTATCTGATCATCATCATTTCTTATTTCTTACTTGTTTATATCATTGTTTACGTCTAAAAAAACGTCCTAATTAAAAAGTGAACATTATAGACAATTATATTTAGTGATGAGAATCCAAATTGAATAAAGGTGTATAAATTTGAAATAGAGATTAATGTTGAGTTTTTAAAATAATACGTGGGTCTAAACTAAACATTTGCTCAGTAATATTAGTCAAGTCATCATCTTTTGTCGGTTTTTATATACAGTATCAGTCAGTTAGAACGTAGAACTTCGTATGTACGTACATCTGCTCAGGTTTCTATAACACATCCGCACAGAGACATCGAATTGTCAGTTCAAACCTCATAGTAGAAGGGGTAGTAAAGTATTAGCAATAATCGGAGAGATTAAGGTTCGAAGATATTATTCAAGAAGTATAATCTAGTGAAATAAACTTAAAAAGAGAAAAATGAAGATGGTGAGGAATTTCGAAGGTTAGGATTTGAGAGAACACAAAGAATGAATGCACCTGCTCCATTGTAAACGGCTTTGAGCCACGTCGTTCAGTGTCTCTAACCGTCGGTTACTATCATCTCGCGGGCCCCAACCAAGGTAGTCGACACCTACCAACATGAGCAGTAGTCAGAATAATATAGATATGTGAGAAGTTGCATCCCGAACATGCTTGCATTATTGCTTAGGGTAATCAGAAGACTCTGCATATTCTAAGTCAAGCTCTGAATCTTCTGGTCTACTGCTGAAAATTCAGGCGAAGATAATGTCGTATTTAGAAGCAGGTCTATGACGAAGTTAAACAAGAATGGGGAAAGTGGATATCCCTGACAGGCACCACTTGAAGCAATGAATTCCGATGACAATTCTCCATAAGCTCTAACTCGACCTGTAGTGTTCGAGTAGAGAGTCTGTATAAGGTTAATGTACTTCTCTGGTACACCTTTTCATGACAGACACTACCACAGAATCTCACTACCCACAGAGTCAAATGCCACTTTAAGGTCCAGGAAGACAACTATTGTCGGACGCCTAGATGTGTGTCTGTGTTCCAGGACCTGTCGCACTGTGTAAGTGTGGTTTACACAGCCACTTACTAGTCGGAAACCACCCTGGTCTTCACTAGTCTGCTCTTCACGAGCTGTAGTTAAGCATCTAAGTATTATCTAAGATAACAATTTAGAAACCATATTAGTTAAACTGATTCCTGTGATTGTTAGGAGAGGACTTTTTTCCTTTCTTATAAATTGGGACAACTAGTGATTGAGACCAATTGGATGGGGTTACGCACGGTTCCCAGATTCTACCTAATATCTAAGTCAATCTAGCCGCTAAAACTGGAACATCATCCTTAAAAATCTCAGAGGTCAGTCTGTCAGGGCGCTCTGCCCTCCCTCGTTTCAGATTTCCTATAACTTTCTCAACTTCATAGACAGTCGGATGACTTACGTCGATTTGGAGATTGTGGGTAACCGAAGTGTTGCTAAAGGCCAGCTGAACTGGTCCCTAAAATCTTCTGCCCATCGATCCAGTCCCCTGAATTGAGAATGAATAATAAGACCATTACTTATTTACTTTCGCCTGTTACCCCAAATGGAGCATAGGCCGCCCACCAGTTTTCTCCAACCAACTCTGTCCTGGGCTTCCCTCTCCAGTTCTGTCCAATGTTTGTTCATTCCTCTCATATCTTTCTCTATTTCTCAACGTAATGTGTTCCTTGGCCTTCCTCTTTTCCGTTTGCCCTGAGGGTTCCATGTGAGGGCTTGTCTTGTGACGCAGTTAGGTGCTTTTCGTAGTATGTGTCCTATCCACTTCCACCAGTTTTTCCTGATTTCCTCCTCCACTGCAATCTGGTTTGTTTTCTTGCACAGTACGTTGTTGCTTATGGTGTCTGGCCAACGAATACGAAGTATTTTACGTAGACAGCTGTTAATAAACACTTGTATCCTCTGGATGATGGCTTTGGTAGTTCTCCATGTTTCCGCTCCATACATTAGAACTGTCTTGACATTTGTATTGAAAATCCTGATTTTGGTGTTGATTGATATCTGTTTGGAGTTCCAGATATTTTTCAACTGTAGAAATGCAGCCCTTGCTTTGCCAATCCGTGCCCTCACATCTGCATCGGATCCACCTTGATTGTCGATGATGCTGCCCAGATATGTAAAGGTGTTAATGTCCTCCAAGGCATCTCCGTCAAGAGTGATTTGATTGGTGCATGTTGTGTTGCATCGGAGAATTTTGCTCTTTCCTTTATGTATGTTGAGACCTACAGCTGCAGAGGCTGCTGCTACACTGGTCGTATTCTCTTGCATTTGTTGTTGAGTGGGCGATAGAAGAGCCAGATCATCTGCGAAGTCCAGATCGTCCAGCTGCGTCCTAACTGTCCAGTTGATACTGTGCTTCCCTCCAGCTGTTGACGTTTTCATAATCCAGTCGATGACCAGGAGAAAGAGAAAGGGTGAGAGTAAGCAACCTTGCCTCACACCGGTCTTTACCTCGAAAGAGTCGGTTAGCTGTCCTCCGTGCACGATTTTGCAGTTGAATCCATCATAAGAGTTCCGTATGATGTTAACTATTTTCTCAGGCACCCCGTAGTGTCGACGAAGAGTCCACAGTGTTTTCCTGTCCACGCTATCAAATGCTTTCTCGTAGTCGATGAAGTTGATGTAGAGTGGTGAGTTCCATTCAATTGATTGTTCCACAATGATCCGTAATGTAGCAATTTGGTCAGTACACGATCGATCCTTCCGAAATCCGGCCTGATGATCTCGAAGTTGGGCGTCTGCGAAGTCCTTCATTCTGTTTAACAATACCCTGTTGAAGACTTTGCCTGGTATTGAAAGAAGAGTGATGCCTCTGTAGTTCTCACACTTGCTGAGATCGCCTTTCTTTGGTATTTTGATCAGGTATCCTTCCTTCCAGTCTGATGGTACTTGTTCCTCATCCCAAATCTTCTTGAAGAGGATGTGAAATATTTTCGCGGTTGCTTCTACATCTGCTTTCATTGCCTCTGCTGGAATGTTGTCTGGTCCTGCTGCTTTGCCGCTCTTGATTTATCTGATGGCTATACTGATCTCCTCAATCGTAGGTGCGCCAATATTAATTGGGAGGTCCTTGGATGCTGCTTCGATGTTGGGTGGGTTCAGTGGAGCTGGTCGATTCAATAGTTCCTCAAAGTGCTCCACCCACCTATTTCGCTGTTGTTCAGTGTTGCTGATTACTTTGCCTTCCTTGTTTTTCACTGGTCGTTCTGGTTTACGATAGTTCCCGGCGAGCTTCTTTGTAGTTTCATACAATTGTCTCAAGTTTCCTTCTCTTGCGGCCTTTTCCGCCGTCGTTGCTAGATCTTCCACGTATTTTCGTTTGTCAGCTCTGATGCTCTTCTTCACTTCCCTGTTTGCTTCTGTGTATGCAGCTTGTGCGGTAACTTTCTCCGCTCTTGTTCGGCTGACATTGATTGCTGCTTTCTTGTTCCTCCTTTCTTCAATTTTTGCGAGAGTATCAACAGAGATCCATTCCTTATGATGCTGCTTCTTGCGACCAAGGACCTCCTGACATGTTGAAGTGACTGCCTCCTTAATCCCTTTCCAATTGTTCTCCAATGTTGTGTCCTCTCCATTGTGTAGATCCTGAAAGGCCTGGAACCTATTGGTGAGGGCTATCTTGAATTCGTTGAGTTTTACGGTATCCCGAAGAAAGGCTGTATTAAACTTCTGTGATGTTGTCTGCCCCGTTGTCCAGTGCTTCTTTAGTTTCAGTTTCATTTTGGCGATTAGCAAATGGTGATCTGAGGCTACATCAGCTCCTCTCCTGGTTCTCACATCCTCCATAGTCCTTCTGAACGTTTTGTTGATACAGATATGATCAATCTGGTTTTGAGTAGTGTGATCCGGTGAAATCCATGTAGCTTTGTGTATGCGTTTGTGCGGGAATATTGTGCCACCGATGACCAGTTTGTTGAAGGCACATAGGTTTGCAAATCTCTCACCATTTTCGTTTCTTTCTCCCAGTCCATGTCGTCCCATGATGTCTTCATATCCAGTGTTGTCCATTCCAACCTTGGCATTCAGGTCTCCCATAAGAATCGTCAAATCCTTTGGTGAACATTTCTCGACGATTGACTGCAGCCTTTCGTAGAATTGATCTTTAACGTCGTCATTGTAGTCATTGGTAGGTGCATAACATTGGATGACGTTCATTGTAATGTCCTCTTTCTTTGTTTTGAAGGATGCTTTAATGATCCTGGGTCCATGAGATTCCCATCCTATTAGTGCCTTTTGTGCATGTTTGGACAGCATCAATGCAACTCCTTGTGTATGTGAAGCATTTTCCTCTTCATGACCAGAGTATAACAGCAGTTCCCCTGAAGCTAGTCTCAGTTGTCCTACTTGTGTCCAATGTGTTTCACTGATTCCAAGCACCTCGAGGTTGTATCTTTTCATTTTTGCCGCAACTTGAAATAGTCTTCCAGTCTCCCACAATGTACGAACGTTCCATGTACCTAAAAAAATGGTTGCTCTAGTTGTCAGAAGAGGCATCAGCCCCGTGACTTCCGAGGGAACTCGGCTTTCATCACGCGACGTCATAATTCTTCCTCCAACTCCCAGGGCAGAGTTAAAATGGTTTGAATTATTTTTTCTGGTTAGCGTTTTTTTGGCAAGTTAGTTTTTGACGGAATGGGGTCGCCAACCCCATGTCCAACCCTCCTCCTTTACCCGGGCTTGGGACCGGCAGTAGCCCCGAAGGTTCTACTGGCGGAGTTATAATAAGACCATCCTTGACCGAAATAGTTTCACTTACAGTCGGATTCCTAATACCGGTTTCCTTGATGAGTCTGAATAGTATTCTACCGTGGCCTTTTCCATCTCCCTTGCTTTCGCTGCCCACCACTGTTCTCGACCTTTGCGTAGGCTTGTCATGAGCCTACGTCTAAGCTGACTCCGCTCCTCATCTCTCTCAGAGCCAGGCGGAATGAGTTTTCGAGCATCCATCAGTTTGGTAGATGCCACTGAAATCCACCGCTTCTCCTCAACCTTGTGGTTTACCTTACTAGCAGATATCACTGCTTTTTCCACAGCTTTTTGGATATTATTCCAAGCTGTCTCGGAGTGAGCAACACTTACTACATGGCTGCCTAACTGTTTTTCTAATTGTTCCTGAAATATCTTCTTAACTTTGTTCTCATTAAGTAGACCGCTCAGAGAATTCCATGTGATGTCTTTCCTACGTCCAGGAAGCCTCAAACAAATACGCGCTCCCACTAGAGCATGGTCTGAATCTAAGGAAGTGCTCCAGAATGAATGACAGTCTTCAACAGAGCCTCTCCACCGATGACTTATAGCGATGTGATCTAGTTGGGTCCATCGTTGGGTTGGCTTTGGCGGTCGCCAGGTCAAGAGATGTTTTTCCCTATGCTTAAAGTTAGTGTTTGTTAGAAATGGGCGGTTATCTGAGGATAGTTGCAGCAGACGTTTGCCATTACCTGTTCATTGTGACGCGATACCATAATATGCACCCAGTTACCTTTCCTTTTCACTTAGTCTACCTACTTGAGCATTAAAGTCACCAGTCATTATTAGTATAACAGAACGGTTACCTTTTTGAAGAAGTTCAGAGAGGTTTCTGTAAAACTCATCTCGTCTGAGCTGCAGTCAATGGGAGCGTAGGTAGAAACAACAAAGAGGCAACGGCGAGTGTCCCTATCCTTCCGAGTTCTCACCATCCCGTTTAGTCGGACAGCGCATAAGCGACTGTCTACCGGGATCCAGTCTAAGAGAGCTAGTTCTGCCCTAGGACTCAATGCTATACCTACACCAGTGAGGCCATGGGAAGCAGCATCAAGGCTACCAGAAACACGAAGCGTAAACCGTGTTGTTTCTCTATCTGCACAAAGTGAAATCAAATAGATGATTTTACTCGGATCTTGTATGTGCGTTACGGAGACACAACATACATCGATCACACGGGATTCCATAGTTCTAACTAATGAAGCCTGTTGCCCTATTTGGCACAAGGTTCGAACATTAAAAGTTCCAATATGTAGTTTGTAGCGGGGTTTTAGGAGACCAGGAATAACGTTTCGTGAGCTCGAACCGTTCGCTTCAGCGGCGCGAGTTGACAAAGATCGAAAGAAGGGTTGGTCACGGAGATAAGAGGGTTATTAGTAGGTATCGAAAGAATTTGATTGTCACCGATTTGGTCTCGTGTGCTGTTATGAGTATGAGGGCGGATGTTACTTCCCGGCTGCTCACACTGTGGAAGGGTTCTTGTTTTCAGAAGTATCATCGGCCTCGTGACTTCCGAAGGAGCTCGACCATTCATCATGAGATGTCATAACTCTTCTAAATGAAGACCTTCTAACACCCAGAGCAGAGTTTAAATGGTGTGAATTATTTTTTCTTGTTAGCGTTTTTTGTCTAATTAGTTTTCTACTGGATGGGGTCGCTACCCCAGAACCAACCCCCCTCTATCCGGGCTTGGGACTGGTAACAGCCCTGGAAGGGACTACAGGCGGAGTTATTTTTTAAGTGTACGTGATCATATGAAGCAATATCAAGAACTAATCAAATTATCATTTCACTTGCTTTATCTCGTAGTAATTCATGTTATAGATCTAACATTTTTAAATGTATTTTACCTGAGCATGCTAAAATAAATAATCTGAATAACTGTAACATGGAAAAGGGGATTAATCGCTAATACAACTCTTTGAATTTAATTGTTTAAATTTGTGTTGATATCAAATGCCATATTTATAGTAAACTGTCATTCATAGGAATCACCAATTAAATACCATAACATGAAGATAGTTGCTATTGCCATTTAGTTGCCCTAGAACAATTAAGTACACTTGGATCATTGACTGTCATTAACATAATTATACACATTCATAAATCTCACAAGTAGTATTAGTACCTTCGAAACTTGAAATACACCTGATAAGTCTCACGTATCACTTAACCCTAGGTCCAGGGTTCTGTGTCGACAACCTTCAACCACTCTAGATTAAAAAAAGTATTCCAGACTTAATCAATAGATTAAAACTTGATCGATCACCATTGAAGATTAGATAAGTATAACGTTTGCCCCTATTCAGTGATCGATCAATGTAAAGTTCTAAATGTATACATAATCTTCTTAAGTTTATATCTCACTCATTGTATACTCAAAATAATTTATAGCCACGTAACTATTTTCATAATTTGAATGACTAGATTTAGTATTCAATTGGTTAATTGTGCCATAAACTACAAACTTATACATTATTAGCGATTAAAGTTGCATAACCTCACTCAATTAGGCCTTGATAAGCCATGATAGCTTTAATCTCATTTGGAATTAAATTTGGTTGACAATCTTGGGGCATTATAAAGTGTACTATTCCACCATTTACCTTGTTTTCAATCTGCTTTTAGGAGATTAAGCTGCAACAGAGATTAGTCACTAAATGAACTGTTTGATCAGTAAAAAGTTGTATATATTATCAACAATTCATGTTTTTTAACACTTACTCATAAGATATTTCTTTATGAGTTTAATGAAGACGTTAAAATTCTAAATTGATTTAATATATCACTTCAAAGATATTAAAGTCCAATTGTGACGAAAAAAAATATCTTAAGTATACATGCTTATATTTAGTTTTTAGAAAATCGTTCGTCATTATTTTACTGTTATAAAAATCTCCTTAATTTTGTAGATTATAACTCCTCTTTTATATATATATATATATTTTTGATTTTCAATAGTTTAGTACGTAATTGTATATTGAATTGTCAGTAAGATAAACAATAAATAACACATACTAAGATTTATGAACACATTCAACTCATGGTTCCTTAGCCTAGAACACTTAATGTTGTATCTTCAATTTTATTACTGACAACTACAAATTTTGAATTTTGTACCTATTGTTTTTATTCACAAAGTATTATTTGAATGTCGTGTTTGCACAAATAATCAATCAATCAATAATAGTAGGTAAATGTGTAAATATAAGAATACTGTGTACTGTGTACAATTAAAACAATATTAAATTTCCAAATAAACCTAATTACTGAAATTGTACACATTTCATCAATGATAATGATGTTTTAATGTAGAACATCTAATTCTTATTGTGTTCATTTTGTAGGTGAAAAACAGTTGTATTGAATAGTCACAGTTGTTTTGTTGTGATAAGTTCATTTTATTGAAATAGTTTAGTTAAGATTAATTGATTAATCTTCTTTGGTGACTAATCATTACCAGGATTTAAGGTCATTACTATTATCCGTAAATGACCTCTTAATCTACCAATCAATAATTTAGCATTTGTAACCAATATTATCAACTCTAATTTTAATAGAACATAACTTATTCCTTGTTTCTATTCATATCATTATGACCAACTCTGTATACTTCTACAAACCATCTATGAACATCGTAACCTGAGGTAGTCCATTTTCAAGTTATTACTAACAAACTTCATGGGTTGGAGTTGTGACAAGAATTTTCATTATATTCCAGTCTGATTTGGATTTTTAACTATCATTCATTGGATTTAATTCCTATTTTCTGTAAGAGACTCAAATTTTTTCTATCCTATAGAAGATATGCACTAATAACTTACCGATTATAATAAATTCATCATTTTTTTTTTTCCTTCCCTGCTTCAGATTAATGCTGACTTAAAAAATTTGCTAGTATCAGCTTTGTCTGGTAATTTAAATGTGGCTCAACAACTTATCGATTTAATGAATAATAATGCTAATCTTTATGGTCAAAGTGAAGGTTTAGCTCAACAGAAATCTATTTTACAAGAAGCTGCTAACACTGCAGAAATTGTAGCTGATGTATGGCAAACAAAATGTATTGCTAGTCATGTTATAGCTAGTGAAGCAGTTAAACAAGCTATCATGTCAATTCATCAAGCACATTTAGCACGACATGCCCTAGCTCACCTACTTGGTGAACGTGCACAAATTCGTCGATATTTAAATCAAACAATTCCTTTGTTATCAGATTATTGTAATAAAAATAATATTCAATTCAATAATTCGGTTGATCAAACATATAATACATTAAGTTTGACATCATTATGTTTTGACTTGGCTTCAGCGATATCACCAAATATGAATATCCAACCAATTCATTGTAATTCAGATACACTTGGTGAAGAGTTAGCACAATATGTAAGTGTTCATACCTTTGTTCTGCACTATATATATATATATATATATATACTTGTATTTTTATTGGTTGGAATCTTTAGTATGTATAAACAAGATAATTTCTCAAATTCCTCAAACTCTTTATACATTTAAATCACAGACGTTTATTTCGTTCTCATTTTTATATCCCACTGATTCACAAATATGACGGAAGACATTGGTTAGTTAGTTATCCATCATCTTATGTAGTCCATATTAGATAAATGTATACATTTAATGAATCTACAAGTGTAAAATTTCTTTTTGGAAAAAATTTAAACTATTCTCGTTCTTGTGTATAAAGTGTTATAGTACCATTACTTTAGCTACGTTTGATGTAATTTTTAGTCTTCTAGGTATGTGTAAACCTTCTTTAAAGAGAGATCTTCAAAGATATTGGAAACTCTGTGTAATGTACCTCTAGGTCAACTGCAGTGGTGTCACCACACTCATAGTTTGTTTAAATACTAGACACTTTGTTATTCTGAGCCCGTTTTTTGTTTGCAACTCATTTTCATTATTTATAGAAATTAATTGCCACTATTGTCAGTTGTGTAATGTGCTTGTACCACTTAGGCCTCGTAATAAAGCCAAAATTGTTTTGGCCGTAATCCACAGTATCATTTCAGTGTGCCTCATTATCAATCAATTATCAGATTTCTATTACAACATTAGTTAATATAACAACCTTCAAAATATCTTCAAAAATTTAAGAAGCACCAAAAAGTATTTATTTCTTATTGAAGCTGTTTAGAGTTTTTAAAAATCATCTTAGTAAATTTCAACAACTGCAGATTAATAATTCTAAACGTGTATTTTGTCGATTTTCTTACGTAAACAGTTTATTGCCTCAGTTTTTTTGATGGAATATTCTTTATCGATTCTGGCTAATTACATTATAACTGATAACTCATTCTGAAGCTTCACTGGCATTTTCTCCTTACCCGTGTGTTTGTTTCGTATATTTTATGTTTATTTGATGTTGTTATCAAAATATTAATTTGAATAGAGAAATAAGAAGACATTTTATGAGATAGTACCATTTCGTGCTTTCTTGTCAGTCACATACAAGCAACATGTTATTTGTGTAAATACAGTTTTGAAGATAAGGTCAAAATTTCTTATTTAACATGACATTCACTCACTAGAACCATGGTAAACAAAGGTCAATATACAGTTGTTTTTGAACACATAAAGTTGGAATTTTTTCCGACCAATCAAGATAGCTTCGAGTAGTTTCAGTGTGTGTGGGTTTTGATTACATGTCACAACTACATAACGAAAATGAACGTGATCCTCTCAGACTCTGCTAAATTTAAATCAGATTCACAGATCGATAACGTGAAGTTGGTCGAAAAACGGATATGCCGAGAACTACATCTACTCATGCTTCATGGTTTTATTACCGAGGCCCATTATTAAATGCTCAAGCCCATTGGTACATACACACCAAAAAATGTATGGCTTACCGAAACTACACAAGCCTACAACACCTATGAGACCAATTCTTTCCATGATAAATTCACCATACCATAAGCTAGCAAAGTGGCTGAAAGAAATTTTGGATCCTGTTTGTAAACAACTGTCGACACATACTATCCTCGATTCCTTTGAACTTCTCCCAACTTTGGAACACTTAAATATTTCTAATGGTCGGATGTGTTCTTTCGATGTAAACTCTTTATTCACAAATGTACCTCTCGAAGAAACTGTGGAATTTATTTGTGACTTCATAACTTCACACAACATAAGAATACCCATTCCTACTACCTATCTTCGAGATCTAATTTTGCTGTGCACAAAGAATATAAAATGCTATTTTCAAGGTAAAGCATATACACAAATCGATGGAGTGGCAATGGGAAGCCCTCTCGGACCTGTTTTAGCAAACATATTCATGGGAATGATAGAAAGGCAAGTGAGTCACTTCATCCATGGTATTACACTTTACAAACGATATGTCGACGATATTCTTGTCATATTACCACATTCTACAGATATTAATGAAGTCAATGATTTATTTAATGCGATTCACCCGAATCTGAAAGTCACTTATGAGGAAGAAAAGAATAATGAACTAGCCTTCCTCGATATCCTGCTCCATCGCCGTCCAGACGGATCAATCAGACGAAAAGTACACCGCAAACCCACCTGGTCGGGACAGTACCTCCACTTCACTAGTTTCTGCCCCATACAATATAAACGTTCTGTTGTCAAAACTTTATTCGCTCGAGCAAGTAGAATCTACACTGCTGATACATTGAACGACGAATTCAAGCTTATTACTGACACACTTAAATCAAACGGATATCCCGAAACGTTTAGTGGTCATCAGAACACAACTATGACGAAGCTGATAGCAACTGATGTGCCCAAGAAACCAGTGTACCTACAGTTACCTTTCAAAGGTGATCATTGCATGAAAATTACAACCAAACAGACTGCGGCTGCAATAAAAAAGACCTTCAATGCAGCTAATCTGAGGCTTATCACAACAATTCAATCGATCTCAGTTACCCCAATCAAGTCTCCAAGACCGATTCAGTCTAAATCCCACTGTATTTACCAATTCACATGTAACTGCGGAGAAAGTTACTTGGGTAGGACAGATCGCCGATTGGAAGACAGGATAGGGGAACATATTCCAAAATGGCTAATCAAATCCATGTTTCATCAACCTAGCCCATCATCTCAAAATCGATCAAGAAACCCAGCCTCGTCCATTGCAAAACATCTAATGATGAGTGGTCATCAAATTGACCCAAAATCAGCCTTTAGAGTTGTGACATGTCATCAAAACCCACACACACTGAAACTACTCGAAGCTATCTTGATTGGTCGGAAAAAATTCCAACTTTATGTGTTCAAAAACAACTGTATATTGACCTTTGTTTACCATGGTTCTAGTGAGTGAATGTCATGTTAAATAAGAAATTTTGACCTTATCTTCAAAACTGTATTTACACAAATAACATGTTGCTTGTATGTGACTGACGAGAAAGCACGAAATGGTACTATCTCCTAAAATATGTCTTCTTATTTC